GCGTCCGTCCCGCTCCGTCTTGTGTTATGTGTGCGCTGTTACACCAAAACATATCCCAGATTCTACCCATTGTGGTTTCAATCAGTGTGTGTGTGTGTGTGTGTGTGTGTGTGTTTTTGTGCGTGTGTCGTGTGTGTGTGTGCGTATGTGTATATACCTATGTATGGAAAGAGAGAGAGAGAGAGAGAGAGAGAGAGATACGCATGTGAATATCTATCTTCCACATATATATATATATATATATTAATCTATTATTCACTCACATACATTTACATATATTTACAAATATCTACATATATGTATATATATATATGTATGTATATATATATATGTATAAACATATGTGTACACACATACATGCATGCATGCATGCATGCATGCATGCATGCATAGATACATACGTATATATACACATATATATATATATATACGTATATATATATATACACATATATATGTATATATACATATATGTATATATGTGTGTGTATACATATACACACGGATATTTTCGCCGAAGAACATACGATATGCTTTCATATTGATTAAAAGCTATGCTCACAGGCCTGTTGACATGGTGAAACTGCTACAGCACTTACCATATGCTAAACTGTGAACATATGCTTTTCTGTATGCACATACATAAGCACATGCACGTGAATCTGCATCTACATACACGTACACATATACATATATGCACAAACGGGCAGAAACATGCACATTGACATATACATACACATGCACATAGACACAGAAAAAGACATAGATATAGATATAGACATGGACATGCAGCAGACATTGACCTGGAAATGGACATGGACATAGACATAGACGTGTACAGACAGACATACATATACGAAACCCAACACTATCTTGACACAGTACCATGTTCATAGATGTACTCGCACATTGAAGTAAAACAAGACTGGTAGGGTGGTGAATGCAAATATGTCAGTAATACAGGCTGTTACAGGCAAGTATAGTTCAATATGGGTCAATATATACTATCTATCATGGGGTCAAGTAGGTGAGTGTTGATGTATAGAAGTGCTGCACAGGTTGACTTAGATTGACATGTTCGCCACTTGTTCTGCATCAATACATTGATGACAATGGCATCACACAGAAACACGTATTAGTCTCATACAAGTATGGGAGTTTCAGAAGACTTGGGGTAGCTTGTTTAGGGGCTTTTGAATATTGTAGCAAAGATCCTCCTATGTAGGATCTATATTACGGTCCCTGAATTCGCTGAAACTCCCTTATCAGATGAGCGCCTCAGGCTCCTGCGTCACGAAGAAGGGAACGCCGGGCAACAGACCCAGCCTATCCCTGCGAGAGTTGAGCGCCCGAATGTTTTTCGGTTTCAGGTACGGCTTGAGCTGTTTTGTTGCTTTTTCTGCGCAGGAAAGTCTGGGTTTCGAGGACTGGGGCCTAGGGCTAGGGGCTGTATGGCTCGAGGATGTAGCTGAGAACCAATGCAACTTGTCAGCGGCAGGACATGGAAGCCGGCCACGTGTGCACAGCGTTGAGGAGGTCAACATGCGTCTCCGACTAGACTTGAGTCTTCCAAATTTGCATCGTTCGTGTTTCCAGGAAGTGAGTCAGGGCTCCAAGAGGCCTATCTGTGAATGCACCGAACAGTTTGTTGGACCCTGCTTTGCACCTTTGCGCACTGTTTTGTGGAAGATGGGTGGATGGGGGCGACGACCTGACCCGTAGAAATCTCAAGAGCTTCAGCGGCTTTTGCAGGCCTCACGCAAGCACTCAAGTCTGCCGCAGGCACATCCAGCGAAGGAACGTACCTGAGCTGCAAGCTCTTGTATAAACTGGGGCTCGTTTCAGGTTCGACGAGGATGGCCATCCGACCGCTGGAGGATCTTGAATGTTTCCGACGTCTCTCTGGGAGCCTGGCAGTTGGAAGGAAGAAGGCGGACCATCCTTGAAGCTGGAAACTGCAGGGCACGTCGTGAGGCCGGGTTCCACTCGCCACGAAGTAGGTGTTGCCTACTACAGAAAAGAAACTATATATACTTAATCATACACGTACAGAGAGAGATAGAAAGAGTAGAGAGAGCGGGAGAGAGAGAGAGAGAGAGACAGTCTCTACTAATTTAGTTTTGTGTAGATATGTATTCGTCTACTTGTTCGTTGTTTTCGGATTGGCCGCTTCTATGTGCGTAGCGTTTTACCCCTCCAAGCTCGGCCTCGACGCAGGTGATCCAGAACTGCCGCGCCATGGCACGATCGGACTCTTGGACAGGCTTTCGAATTGGGAAAACATCTCTTCCCGATCTAAAACACCGAGGGTACCTTACTTTCGGAATCCAATATGCTCCAGGGTCCATGTCGGGGTCCCTCATTTTCTGAAGCTTCATCATGAGAAAGGCGTAAATGAAGTGATTGACTTCGGCGTAGCTCGTCGGCCGGCTACACAATGTGGTTCTCAGGCGTAAGGCTCAGAGTTCTCTGGGAATCGTCTGCAGGCTGCAGTCCCATACCAGAACTTTGGAGCAGAACCGAAATGGCAACATGCCTTGGTTTCACATGATACGCACTTGCAGCGCTGTATAAAACACAACACTACCGTTCTGTAAGACACTGCTAGCTGCAAGCTTTCCGGAAGCGACTCCTCCGCGATCACTCCTTTGACCAGGAGCACCGCCACAGCGTTACGAAGCGACCTGACATGGCGCAGAGATCGCCAGAGCGTGCGCCAACCGCGGAGAGCCCGTGCCCGGGCCTCATCGGAGTGAACCCGGGCTGCTCCTCAGCTCGGGTTTGTCATGTCTTCAACATGAAACTTCTTACATCTTTCCGCACCGAACTCTGGGAAACTGTTTCCGATACCACCTCCCAAAACACTGAACCCTACGCCCCTTAACCCTCAATCCGAAGTAGGGAACCCGGCCATAAACCCTCAACTCCAACTTTGAGCCTGCGCCCTGCCCTGCGGCCGAGGTTCGGATTCCCGGCGCGGATGCGAGGTCTCTACAAACGACTGGACCGAGAGATCGAGATAATGCAAAGGTCTCCGCTACCCAGCAATCATACACTGTAATATACTGCACTGTACTGTACTATAATATATTACATTATATAGTGGGAACACAGACTATAGCTATGATATGCTGCAAAATACTATTCAATGGAAGCAGCAATGGGACCCTGAACATGCAGATTTGCAATTCTGCGATGGAGGCAGAAGCTGGTGTCAGGGTCGTCCTTTTACCGCTGTTTGCCAAGCAATCAGGTCTCACGCAGCTAACTCGTCCCGGGTTGATCACATATTGTGATGTGGAAAACTAACATCCTTTGCACTCCTCTGGCTGACAGCGAAAGCATGCACTGTGCTGTGCAGCACAACGGAGGCTATCCTGCTTCCGTTTATCGGTTTCACTTCGCGATAGCCAGGGGAGAGCTAGCTGTCAGTGGCTGCAATAAGCTCTAGAATCTAGACTCCAGAACTCTCCTTGCAATGCAAAACGGTTGAGGTGCATTGGTAGTTCCACAAGTGCACTTTGTTTGCGAAAGTCGGCATCTTGTCTACCGTGCTTTGTGGGTGCCAAGCTTTCTGCTCTGCTTACGCGAGAAAGGGCGCCAGCGACGTGCGCAACGCAGTCTGCAAGCAGCAGGGGCCGAAGGACACTCAACAGACTGGTCACTGACAAGCGCAGTTTGCATCGCGCCTGGAACTGGTCAACAGCCGTGGGGCCAGCGTTATCTACCTTCCAATAGCAATGCAAGCTTAGTGGGAAGCATGAGGACATGACATCCAACACGCCAGTTTGGTGCCAGCCTTGAGCGTCACTTGACAGGAGCTCGCCGCTAATGCCTGAGAGGTAAAGCAGGCAAACAAAAGGGAAGAAAGCTGCAGATGTAACGCCCCATCTTTGGAGCTAGGCTTCAGAACCCAAAAAAAGAAATAAACATGGTACAATTCCTTTTTGCTCAGGAAAAACACTCCTGGAGGAAGATCTGCACCGGGCTCCCGAGCCATGATCACCTCAAGCAAAAACCAGACTCCGTTGGGAGCCTCCGTTTGCCCAGCCTCCAGCAGCGAGGGCTCGGCTGGGTAGATTTAGGGTTTTGGTTGTTTTGAGGGGCTTTTGGTGACTGCACGAGTACGAGCGCCTCCAACTCTTTCGAGCAGGCATCGGGGTTTCGTTGAACCCCTTTTGGAACCATGATATAGAGTACTTAACTTTGTGGCAGGAAATTGCAGTCCAAACAAGCTTCACGGGTTTGGGGTTTAGGGTTGAGATTCCCCAGTGACTGATGCATCCAAAGTCATTGCAGCCGGCAGAGTTCCGGGCCTGCCGCGCATAGAAGTAGAACTTCATGCTCTGGCCGACTGTGCCACTCGCTATGACCTCGGTGACACACGACATCGTCCTGCACCTCCGAAGCTCTGCAGAAGCCTGCGACAAAAACTCTGGGTTCAGGGGATGTCCTTCATGGGGGAAGCTCTTATAACCCCATAAATCCCCCTTACAAGAGCCCTTTAAAGGAACTCTTAATACTATCATATCCCCCTACGAAGACCTCACATCTCTCGGTGTCCAGCGAAGATGCCATGTGGCCTCAGGGCCTTGGCTACAAAGTGATGCTCCCCTGAATTGCTTGGAGTTTTGGGTTTAGGGGTTTAAGAGTTTAGGGTTTTGGGTTTTGGGGTTTTGGGCTTAGCGGTTTAGGGTTTAGGGCATCTCCAGACCAAGCTTGCAACAGCGACAGTGAATCTTCTCGAATCTGCCCTTGCCCAGACGTTGCAGCTCCGTCTTTTGTCATCCCTCACAAAGCCCAGCATCGGACAGACTATCTCGATGCTTTCCACCCGATAATGCGACGACCCACGCAAGCTGTGGCCAAAGTTCCCTGCGCTAGCATTCCCGGCCTTTCATGTGCGCCCCTCACTTCAGCTGATCCTGGGCCCAGGTACAGCCTCGACGGCGCCTGTGTTCGACGCGCTGCCGGGCCTCTGCGGATTCCCACTGCTCGGAGGGCACTGGGGCCACAGAAGCCAGCAGTGCGATTCAAGGACACTAACAACACTAGCACCTTTTGACTCTTGACGCAGTATGTATGTGGACGTACCTATGATTCCATGTATCAACGTAGAAACTTGTATCAAGGTCATCCGTAAGGTGTGTCACGACGTCCCACTGTTCAAAACAAGCGCAGTCAGGGTTCACTGCATTTGTCAACACCACTCCAAATTGTAATGGGCCCACGAGACATACAAAAGCAGATGAAGACTGAGCAGGAACGTGCGAGAGAGCCTTGCTGTCATGCCAAAACTGCTATCATTGGGCTCGCAGGCATGGCTTGGCAGCTCCCCTGAGTTTTGGCGATGGCTTTGGTCCACAGATTTCTGTGCTACAAAAAGTACTACTTACTGGGATCAGTCATCTCCAGGTCCACACCAGGCATCTGAAAATTCTGATAAGTCCGCCTTCAGTTGCTCCGTGTCGGCTTGGTTACATAAATATGTATGTCATGCTCCCCCGTGCCTCAGTGGCCAATTCAAGACCGGAAGCTGCGGCAGCTGTGACCACCGCGCCTGGCGTTTCCATCGGGGCCGCAAAAAAAGCTACGTGGCATCACAGACCAACTCAGGTGCGTGAGATTGCGTAAGGCGTCCTGAAAGCTGTTGCCATCCATGGAGGCATCCAGAGCCAAGCTGAACTCGGGAGGCGCTGCAGGCACGGGCGCCGGCACCTGAAAGAAGCGCTTGGATCAAAGAGGTCCAGACATGGAAAGGCGCGGAAAAAAAAGGGCCTCGGATCCGAGGCCACCGAGCAAATCCTGCAAAGGAGTCGGGGCGGAGTAAAGCATCGGTGAAAACACTGGTCACCACCCGAAAAAGAAACAGGAACAACGACAGAACCAGAAATAGCGTCGTGATAGATGCATTGTTCGGAGAATCTGCGACCAAATCTGTCCACGATGGATGTTCAAGCAGTTCAAGCGTGCCATGACAATGACGCTCCGGGTTTAAAGGTTTCAAACGGCATTGGAATAAACAGCAACAGGCTGCAGGCAGAGTCACCAATGCTCCTACGATAGCAGCGAGTCGCAAGTCGCAGCAGGCTTGATCCTGCCTGGAGCCCTGTGATCAAAGCTTCGAGGTTCATGGCAGGGCAAGCCTTCATTTTACTTGTAGCACTTGCATCCCACAACACATCAGGAAAGTCACATCTGAAAACCATCTTTTCGCGCCTGCTTTGGCAAATACTAGTTACTAATACTGGTGAGGCTGTGTGCAGCTGCGTGAAGATGGCAGAAGCCCTAAAGAATGCAGACGACAAACAACGAAACTTCATCCTACCAGCGGCGACAGTACTGAGGAACACTGGTTCATGGAAGTCTGAAACAAATAATTGACCATCCATCACACCCGTGAGCTGACCCTCCGGCTGCTCGAAAGATGGATCGAACCACGTTGGAAGTCCCTTCTACCAACATGACCAGACTGCAAAAACGGCCCACCCGCTTTCGGGCTCCGTCCGGCTGCGAAGTGTTTATTTGAAGCTGAACCCAAAAAAGTTTTGAGACCGCCAACTCGGGTCGATTGTGCTCCTCCATGCCGAGCAAGTCCCCTCCGCTGCTTGGCGACGTACTGGGAGCGACCTCTTCCGGAGGCCCCAAGCCCATTGTGACTATTACTATCACTACTATTCTTAGTCGTATTCTTATTGGTCTTATTATTCTTATTACTACTACTATGCTTGCTATTGCAAACATGGGCAGACCTGCAACGGCATCAGGGGTGCCGGCCTGCGCGGGCGCTGCAGGAACATCGTCCAGAAGTCCTGTCATCATTTGAAAAAGCCAAGCCCTGGAACCGCCCCCCTCTCTCCCGTCCCGGGTCCTCCGCCCAGGAGGTCTGCAGACTCGGCGGGCGCCGGCGAGTCGAAGCCAGGGAGCATCTGCTGAGAACAAGGACAGCTCTCAGACGTTCGAGGCTCTCTAAGAAGCCATCGGACTGCCTCGGAAGGGGCGCTCGTTGGCCCTTTTACCTCGACCGCTTCTCATGCGTATGGGGCTCCAGTGGCACGAGGGCCGGTGCAGGGATGGATCTGGGAATGACTAAGCTCATGTGCGCAGCAGCACCTGTCTGTGGGAAACCACTGTCACCCCCCCACCCCCGCTTCAGCTGCACGAAGTGGGCAGCTATGGGCAGCTGTCAGAACTCCATAGGAGAAAAATCCTGAAACCCAAACCCTACACCCTGAAACCCTGAAACCCTGCAACCCGAAACCTGAAACCCTGAAACCCTATCAAAACCCTATCAAAACCCTAAGAAACCCTATCGAAACCCTATGAAACCCTGTGAAACCCTATGAAACCCTATGAAAACCCTATCAAAACCCTAAGAAACCCTATCAAAACCCTATGAAACCCTGTGAAAACCCGATGAAACCCTGCACAGAGGCTCCGGCTCTGGAGGGCTGCGTCGGCGTGGAAGGCATCTCCATGCCCTGGACGGTTTAAGGGTTTAGGGGTTTAGGGTTTAGGGTTTAGGGCTTAGGGTTTAAGGGTTTAGTGTTTTGGGTTTAGAGTTTAGGAGCTCTCCGAGGCTTTCGTCCCGCTGAGCCCCTTCGTGAAAGGAGACGAAGAACAATCATGGTACTATCAGCAGCAGCAATAATGACAAGAGTAATAACAATGACCAAAATCAGAACAATGATGACAACAACACAAGTAATAATAATCATTGTTGTTATTATTACGATTAAGAAGAAGACGGAGAAGAAGAAGAAACTGAGCCCCTTCCGAAGGCCCTTCAAGAGCCTCCGGAAGCGCCGGGGGCTGCATCTTCATGGCCACGAAGGGGCTACCGCTCACCTGCAGACTTGGGGCTCAGGGGCTTCAGGGCTAGGGCTGAGGGCTTTAGGGGGTTGGGGGGGGTCTGGGGTTTTAGGTTTTGGGGTTGAATTAAGGCTAAGGGTTTAGGGCTTAAGGGTTTCCGTGATCCCACAGAGCTGCCGAACTCGAAGTGAATGTCCTGAACACAGTCTGCCAACCATAAACGCCGCATTTCAGAAGCCTACGCTGCATCACTCACTTTCCAGACAGGAATGCCGGCACTCGCGCCAAGTTTGCTCTGAATCCCCGCTCTGTGCGGGGATTAGCATCGGCAGCTTGAATACAGGATGCTTTGGAGGTCTTGAGCTCACGACCGCAGAGGAAGGCTGATGATAAAGACCCAAGTCGCTTCGATCTGTACAAATCGAAATTGGGATTGGATATCAAAGCTACGGGCTCAATCCGATCAACTCCGAACCAGGACAAAGATGGATAAGGTTTGGTTTGGACTCTTTACCAGATTCGCTCCGGCCTGAATGAACTTGGCAGCCGGCTGCTTGTAGACCGTGCTGAGCCTCGTAGATATTCTCTAACTGGGCCTACTTGGCGCTTCATGCGCCTTGGGAGCCCTGAACACAATCTCCCAAGCCCTCGTCCTGGGGCACATCAGCTCTTCGGCGTCTTAATTCCAAACCCTACATTCCCAAAAGGGTCCTTCGGAGACTTGTGAGCATTTGTTGGGGATCCGGGCGAGTTGAACTCGTCAAAGACCCGATCCCGCAGGTCGACGTCCATCTGATGAGAGCACGGGAGATGAATCTGAGACCTACTAAGAGCGCTATTGCTACAACGGCAATGATTCGTGCTACAATTGTGGTTCTCGTTCTTTTTGTAGCAGTAGCAGAGTTGTGGTAGTTGTGGGAGTAGTAGTTGTTTTTCGCAGTGGTAGCAGTGTAGCAGCAGTAAGAGTAGTAGTAGTAGTAGTAGTAGTAGTAGTAGCAGCAGTAGAAGCAGTCGTAGCAGCAGTAGCAGAACCAGTGGCAGTAGCAGTAGTAGTAGCAGTAGCAGTAGCAGTAGCAGTAGCAGCAGCAGTAGCAGTAGCAGTAACAGTAGCAGTAGCAGGAGCAGGAGCAGGAGCAGGAGCAGGAGCAGGAGCAGAAGGAGTAGTAGTAGTCGTAGTTGTAGTTGTAGTTGCAGTTGCAGTTGCAGTTGCAGTTGCAGTTGCAGTTGCAGTTGCAGTTGCAGTTGCAGTTGCAGTTGCAGTTGCAGTAGTAGTAGTAGTAGTAGTAGTAGTAGTAGTAGAAGCAGTAGTAATAGTAACAGTAGTACCAGTAGTAGCAGCAGTAGTAGTAGTAGTAGGAGGAGTAGGAGTAGCAGCAGCAGCAGCAGCAGCAGCAGCAGCAGCAGTAGCAATAAAGTAGACTGATCAGGCTCGCATGGATACTAAGCCAATAGTCGTCGTCACCGTCGGCGTCGTCCTCATAGTAGTGTATTGATTGCATATTAGGAACGGTACTTCTATTTAAGTTGTGGTTCTTCCATATCCCTGCTTGGACTATCGTGACTATCCTGTCCTTTTGGACAGTTGGTATTATATTTCAGGACTTCTTTGACTCATCATGATTCGACTCACCCTTCGCACTGTTGCGACGATGACGTCGACGATGTCCACTTGGGCGCCTCCTCCTGGAACTCCTCCACCACCTCCTTGGGCGCGCAGATCACGCGCCGGGCCTCCTCGGGAGAGACCTGGAGCAGCCTGCCCAGGAGAAGAAGCGAAGATACATACATACGTACATACATACATGCATACATGCATACATACATACATACATACATACATACATACATGCATGCATGCATGCATACAAACATACATAAATACAAATATATAAATATGAAGCTAAATGTATATATATATGTGAACATACATATATCTTTGTCTACCGCTATATGTGCGTATGTATGTATATATATATAGGGAGATGTGCATGTATGTATATATATATATGCATGCATAGAAGGGGCTCAAGAGAGGGGGCTCTCTTATAGTGTCGATTCGGTTTCGGAGCCGCTTCAGAGTTTTGGAGGCTCCTGGGACGGTTGCCGGTTTAGCCAGGTTGAAGTTTGTTGCGAAACCGGGCTTCTTTCGAGAACAGCGGACTTCAATGAAGTTCGAAAGAGTCGGATTCGAAGCGCACTGGACCGGATTGTCAGATACACAGCTTCGGCTGCTGGGCCTGTAATATAACAGAGCTCTATCTCGAACGTCCGGATGCGTGCATTCCTGGATCGCCTGGCGAGGCAGAGCGTGGGAAACCCAAAGCGCAAGCAGATATGCTTTGAGGCAAGAGCATGGTCTGGCTCTACATTTCTGGAGTCGTCTGCAGCCCGCCTTCTGCATTAAGCAACCCAGCATCCTCTGCACTTCCGGTGGACGGCAGAAGAACAACTTCACCTTGCAACTGCGAGTGCGTTGCTGCAGTGTGTTCATGGCTTCGCGGTAACATGTCTGCATGGCACTACTCATCAGGCAGCTCCACGCTGCTCTGTGCCCTCAGAGCATGACGGCTGCGGTCAGCATCTCCAGCTGAACGGCGCCAGACTCCTCATGTCATCCAGAAAGCCGGAACCACGACATGCTGCCGTCAACTGTTGCAACTTCCCTGCATCGATTACACTGCTCTCCTCCATGAAGCTCTCGATCATGGGCTCTAGCAGGTACGGCGCATCCTCAACACATCAACATCTCAGGCAAATAGGCGGGAGACTTGTCAGAATATGTGTGGGTGCACCTGCATACGTGCATGGACGCACCTGTATCACCTGTAGAGTACACACAGTTTGCATGCATGCATGCATGCATGCATACATACATATGTTCCATTCATGCATACATACACACACATATGTTACATACATACATACATACATACATACATACATACATACATACATACATACATACACACATACACACATACACACATACACACATACACATACACACGTACATTCATACATATGTATGTATATAAGGATATATATATATGTATATGTACATACATATACACATATGCATGCACATATATATATATATGTGTGTGTGTACGTGTATGTTAATGCGCATTTGTGAAAAACAAGGTTCTCCTCTACAAAATAGAAACTTGAGATATACGTATACATATATGCACCTACATACACACACACACATACATACATACATACATACATACATACATACATACATACATACATATAGACAGATAGATAGATATACATACATATGTATATATATATGTAAATACATGTATGTGTGTATATATATATACATATTGTGTATGCATGTGCACTAACATATCAGCATCTGTGTGTCATGCGTGTGTGTGTGTATATATATATACAGCGCCTGCCTTCATGCATTAACTATGTCATACTCGAATGCTGCGTGTAAAAGGTACCCGGGTCAACATGCCCTACAACCCTGTACCCTGCAGCTAAATCCAGCGAGCGTCAACATGTACAATCACGCTTCTCTTCACCAGCTCAACCACTCTGTCCTCGATGAGCAAGCCATACTCGCCCAGGATCCAAAGCAAGGCCTGAATGTATGTATGGTTAAACTCAATGACAGATAGATGGACGGATGGATAGATAGGTATATCCAGGGACAGACAGAGAGACAAACAGAGAGAACAACAAAACAGACAAAGAGCACACAGACAGACAGACGGACAGGCAGACACACAGATAGACAGACAACGACAGACAGCCAGGTCAGAGTGTGGAAGACCATTCCAAGCACAGCGGGAGCAAACCAAGCCCTCGAAGGCCTGCCGCTGTGGAATGGCCAGAATGCGCAATGCACAGACGCCGCGCGAGCACTACAGTTGAGCATGACGAAAATAGCGCAGAAAACGCTACAAACCGGCGAAACACTGCGGCGACAGCACAAACAGCAACAAGCCCGAAGCGAACCTGATGAAGAGGTCGAAACTCCCAAAGAGGCACTGGGGCACTGCGCTGGTAGCGGTGCGGAACCCGTACGAAGACTGCACCGAGCAAGATTGCTTCCGTGCGTGAACACCAAAATTTTAGATCTGCCTGCATTTCTACCACACGCGAAGCAAATGCCCGCCCAGTGGACGACTACGTGAACAAGTCGGAATTAAAAGCCAGGACGCTTGAAGGTGCCGTATGCTCCCAAGTTCCAGCTGAGCCGAAGACGCTCTTGCCGTCCGGCTCCGTGACTATTCTGAGGCACTTCCTCGGGATCCGGAGAGCACACTCTCTATGCCTCGCTAGGGCCGTGACTTTGCTCCGAAAGCTCTTTCCGGAGTGAAGGAGCATCCATAGCGGAAGGATGTGTGTGTGTGTGTACCATATATATATATATATGTATGTATGCAAGGTCCCCCCCTGCCACCGTGTACCTACCAGTGCAGTGTGGCTTGTTGTATAGCTTACAGACTTCCATGAACAGGGGCCCATACACCTAATGTCGACGAACTAATTCGCAAACGACGGCGACGTGGACATGGGTTTTCCACCAATGACACGGCAGGGGAAGCGTCAGGTGGCGCTTTATAAAGGAGTATGCGTGCATTTCTGGGTTCTGTCACGAAATGAAAAGCTGCATTTGATTGGCCAGCTTGATCAACATGGACATCATGTCTGTATGCACATTACCAAATGAAATTCACGAAAACAACTGAATACTTAAACTTTATGTGTGTATATATATATGCATATATACATACAGGTGCATACAGTACATACACACACATATATATGCATATTTGTATATGTACACATACATCATATAAATATGTTATATTATAGGTGTGTATGTGTACATATTATATAGACAAACACATATAGTTGTATATCGAGTTCGCAGGAATTTAACCACCTGCATGCTTGAACCAGCCAAATGTGTGATTCAGCTTCTGAATAAAACCCAAGTTTAAGTAAATAGGTCTCTCAATAGATCGAAACCTACACCTGATCAAGTTTTCTCAATGATGACACTCTCACTTTCATGTAAACAGATAGCCTGTTTCGTAGTGGTTTAACCACGACAGGCATGTGCAGCGATCTCGCCTGTTGACTTGACATGACGAAGCACGCGGCTTGCATGTTTTTAAGAAAGTGAACCCTTAACAACTGGCAGGCTGTGAAATACAGAACTTAGCAGCTTGAACATTTTAATCTTGTATTCATGCGCATATCTTAGCAAGGGTAGAACTTCACAAGATCAGTGATCTATACACACAGGTTCGCATACTTTCACCATTACTCGTGCCTCAACAGCCCAACTTTAAAAAAATGGTAGTGACTCAGCAATGGGGGCACAGTTTCTGAGGTAGCAAGTTGACAAGGAATTAGGGCCCAGGAGGAGACGGCTTCTCCCCCTTCACGATATGCGTGACCACACAAGCAGCAGCAATCTCACGCGCGGAAGCAAGGTGATAAATGCTTCTGCTCCGGGAGCTGGGATGTCACATTTTTGAGGAGGGTTGAAATGGGCCGACAGCAGAGGGATGGATGTCACAAAATCTGTAGACCTCTGCGGTTAGCGTATGTATACCAATACCATGCATGTATGCATGCAGGCATATATGCATGTAATTTTGTACTTATGCATCATTATGCATGTGCAACAGGTAGCTGGACACACTTGTACACATACGTACACACACATATATAGATATGCATGTGTAAACAAGCACACATACATAACAGGACAGCACACATGGACTGCATCTCGTTCCATTATCTACGTGACTTCCTGGAAGCATTGCGGCTTTGCACTGCATGAGCTCACAAGGGCACGGACTGCACAGCACCGGAGGCTTGCTGGAATTGCTCAGGATACCTCAAGGACGGTGTTCACGAGGAAAACAGAAGTTGCTTCTTCTAGCTTCATCTCAACGGTGTGCAACTGCACAGGAGAAGCGCACTTCCTGACCAGATCCTTCATGACCACTGCTGCTTCAGTGCAGACCTCAAATATCAAGCACGAGGCCCGGGATCAGACACTGGCCCGAGTACACATGTGCAATACGTACAGGTCTAGGTCACCGGACATAGTCAATGTCCAACTCTAGAAGGCTCGTCAAAGAAGTGACGATCATCTCAGAAGTTGAAGGAACGTGCACCTGCAGTCATCCGAGGATTCTGGGCCTGGGGGTATGCTTCGGGAGCACATGTCGGCCAAGGCTTGCAAAGTTCTCTGAGGCACGGCACCGCGATTTTGCCTATTGCCCGAATCGCTCTGCGCGCAATCTCTGCATCCACATCAGTGACATACCTGAGTTAGCAAGGTGTGCCAGGACTCGAAAAGTCTACGAAACTCCTCTCTAGACTTGTACTTGGCGCGGCACTCGCTGAGCTCGGTCACAACATGCTCGGCACCTTCGGCAATGACAGGTCATGAGCTGCTCGGCAGCCAGGGAGTTGGTGGTTCAGTTCTCAGGACCTTTAGGGTCCACACTGTTAAAGTCTGCAAGCATGGTGAGGATGTCGATCTTCACCTGCTTGATGTACCTCGACCCAGTCATTCCAATCTCTTCCGGCGGCTGCAGTGGGCTTCGACTTCAACTCACTAGCATGGGTTTAAGCTACGAGCTGTTGCCACAGGAATATCCATAGTGATAGTAATGATACAGATTGTGTTTTATGAGTACAGCACCTCCATCTTTGAGACTTTGCGTGCAAGCTATGTTGGACAACTGTCGCATCTCCTATTCTGTGGTGGTCCTGCCAGTCACCAGCCCACACAAAGCTGCGCACGACGGCTCGTTATATCGGCAGAAGAATTGCTTGAAGTCTCCCGCGAAAACCTTCACAGGCATGTCTGCAGCGACTCTCTTGGCGCTTGTCGGAACGCGCCATATAGCTCACCTGCCCATGAGCCTCTACCCACATTCGCGCTCTCGTTTCTGGCCCAGAGGCACGATGTCATTCAAACAGTTGGGAACCGATGAGCTCTTCACAAGGCTCATCTAAGGGCAAAATGATCGTCAGTGCGCATGTGGCACTAGATCGGGCTGCACACTGCTTTCACCACCGCTTCTCAGAGTTGCGGTGCATCCGCTGTTCCAGCCCATCGACCTGGAACGGGACAGGATCGGATAGGGCGGGCACGGCGGGCGCGCGCGAAGGTCTCCCTTGAACCCAAGGCCAGGACTACCACCCCCCAAGGCCAACAAGGCCGGGAAGAGCTTGGCGAGTGGGACTCGAAGCAGCCCTCAGCTTCAATCGAAGATCTTACAGTAAAGCCACCGCAAGGCTTTTGCAGAAGCTCAGCGGCTTCGAGACCATCGCGACTCCAAAGCAGACAAAATAGCTCTAGCTCTGCTTTCTCTTACCTGCAAAACATCAAAGGAGTGGCCCTGCACTTGCACAAAGAATCTCGACAAGTCTCTACAGCCGAGCGGTCTTCGGGTACGCCTGCCATGGTTGCAGCTCAGCGGATCGATAGATGGGGACACCATAGGAGATTTTGTCAATGCCAGATCACACGGGTGCGGTGGCACCACATGATTTGTGTAATGCAAGGACAAACAAAGCATGTGGCACAGCCGAACACCACGAAGCACAAGACCGTGGACATGGGTCAAACTGCACAGCAGCCTTGATGGCAGTCCGAACCGCCAGGTCAGCCATGATCTCCTCGCTGCCGCCGTAGACCTTATTGTAGAGGTTTCGGGCTTTTCAATTGGGTGTAGGGCGCTGGAGTTCACTGCACGGGAGCAGCTGCCGGATCTGCGAAGTGCCTCTAGTTGCAGCTGAGCCGCGGCAGGGATTTTGTACATCCTCCAAGGTGAGCCAAAGTCAAGAGCAGCATAAGGTTTCTTATCAGTGAAATGCCGTCCTGGCCAGCCTCATACTAGCGTCTCAGACCTCAGACCTGCTGTGGTACTGACGGAAGGTCGAAGAAGCAAAACGAATACGAATGTCTTCAACCGGATACTTCAAGACAGGCAGTATTCACACAATCTAGTCAACTGTGCCCGGAATCTGCAAAGCAAAACTGCAAACAACTTGCCCGAAGCATGTGCGACAAAAGAGCCACGAAACGGTAATAAAGAACGCAATTTGCCCCAAAAGTATCGGAGAACTGTCCCATAGCAGCTGCGGTTTCATCAACCCACGTCACGAAGCTCCGAAGGTTGAACGGACTTTACGGCAAGTGTCCTGGAGAAGACCTCCACAGCACGGCCCATGGCACCTTGTGTCACGCCACGTCCTCCGAAGACCTCCCATGACAGCATCGAAGTCGCTGTCTGTGGGACCGTTGCACTTGGCCTGCACTGCATTATCGCAGACCAAGTGGTTCATTCGAGTCGTCTGATACCTCGAGGCCGCGGAAGCGACTCATCTGAAAATTATATGAAACTCTCAATACAGAAGCAGCTTAAACTCGAGCTTGCGCCAAGGCTGCTTGCAGAGGGCGATGCGCGCTCCGATCTCGGGACCCTGGGTCCCCACATGGGTCATGTTGTAGGTGATGTCCCACCTGGGAGCGGTCTCTTTGTTGTACTCGGCATCTTCAGAGGTTGCAGACGGGACACAGCATCTGTGTGCAGGTCTCGATGCCCGCAAACATCTGCGCCAACTTCCTTAGAGAGCCCGTTCCCACTGCATGAACCGCGATGCAATGCGATGCAACATGGACCCTGCCAGTATCCCAACTCAGCCGAAAAAGGCTGCACTCACACTACCTCCACGCCACTTGAAACCCTGTCTCAGCATCGCAGAAGGGTCCCACACTATCTGTAGTCGCCATGCTTCTCACGGATCACTGCCTGTTCGATGAGGGGCTTTCCAAAGACCTGCGTTGCGTGGGATGTCGGGGACAAAAGGTTCGACAGCAGCCGGCATTCCAGTACAGGAGAACGTACTACCAGGTACTGAAGGCCTTGCGCTGCATCGCCCACTTGAAGGTCTCCTCTGTGGCAAAACGTGCCCGGGCAATGCTCACGGCCGTAATCATCCATCCTGGGCCGCAGGCAGCACGGAAACCCGTGCACTACCTCGAAACACCCGAAAGCCGGCTGTGAGCAACTCAGAACCAGTCAACCCAAAACTGGAAACCGAGCTACTCTGAGCCTTTTGTGCCCTGAAGAAGCTGAAACGAGGCAGGCCCTCTGCACGGCTAAGATAAGGTGGCCAAGCATCGCTCATGGTTGAAGTTGGACATGATGATCTGGAAGCCCTGACAGCTTGATTTGGGGATGTTTGGGTGTTAGTTTGGGATCTCGGGAGACACCATTTACACTCTACGAACAGAGTTCTTAACCCATGGGGCCTTATCCACCCCCTTGATAATGTTCCTCTTGGGAACGATGCAGTTTTCGTAGGTCACGTAAGCGGTGCCAGCGGAGCTGGAGTACTTCGTCTTCATGACCCTGAGCCAGAGTCACGCACCACCCCCAGACTCTAGGTCTTGAGCTCTACTATCATTGCGACTTCTTTTCTACTACTCTTAGGAAGATGATTTCTGACTACTGTTACTACTGTCATTATGAAACATATTGAGGAAATAAAATTGTGCCTCCAATACGTTTAGTGTATACCACTACTCTGGTGGTCAAGGTGTGGCGAGCGGCGTAGTCTGCACGGCGTCGGAGCGGGGGATCAACATCATGGAGATGCCTCCTGCACCAGCCTTGCCTGTGCGCACCGCCGTGACGAACCAGTCCGCATACATCCCACCTGCACAGAGCTATTAGGGTTTAGGGTTTAGGGCCCAATTTTCACACATGAAAATCTCACCGGGAGGATCCGGGAAGTGGAGAGGCACATGCGGCATGGGTGTTCCAGCTGATGTTTCGACGACTGCAAGACTCTCGGGACACGCCGCATGCCTGTGATCCACTTCTTGGTGCCATTCACAATGTAGTTCTCACCCGATTCATCGAGCACGGCAGTGGTGCGGAGTCCGGCCACATCGGAGCCGGCAAATGCCTGCATGCCGACAAAAGGACCAGCTAAAGCATTGACTAAAACGAGGGAATTACAAGGGCGTCAGCAGGCATTGACAGAACATTGAGTCTGAGCTTCACCACGAGACTGGCCTCAGTGATAGACAAGACGACCGTCTGGTCTCCCTTGACGATGGGGGGCACCACCTGCGAAATGCCGTAGCCATACTCCCTGGGTTCCGGAGTGGCGGAAGCACAAACATGATAGAAAAAGGACTTGAAACGGCGAAGAAGTGTCAGCACGGATGCACTGAAGCCTCACCTCAACCTCTCACTGCGCTCCTCGGTCCCGGGCCTCCTGCTTCATCCAGTCGGAGCCATACTTGAGCAGCACCTGGCTACCACGGCTATCGCTACCGATACCTTCTGCTTTACTGGAAGCACTGCTACGGCAGCACTGCTGCTGCTTTGCTATACTACTGCTACTGCCAAACTACTGCGACTGCCGCGAAGGGAGCTTGCTGGGCCGGGTGCGGTTTCTCAGCAGCAAAGGCCGCGCGAGGCTCGACGCTACCAGGAGAACCCATCCCATGACAGCACGAACCGCTTCGGTACTTCTCACGCCGGGAGCACGGGGAGCCCGATGGAAACCGCGCCGTCCAGGCCATCCTGCACTCTTTCCCGTGCTGGAGGTGCCGTGTCCGGCAGAGCGATTTTTCGAAAAGGGTCCTCGTAGCCCGGGCACATGGCACGGCATCTCTCCTCTTGAACCACCTGAACACACGTGCCAACGCTCGTGCCAATCATGCAGCAGTGTAGAACACGACCTACAAGTCACCTACCTGACATCAACTCCGGTCACGGCATGATCCCTTGTCTGGTCGGACTCTGAAATCAGAAAGTGTAGCATTCGTCCCGCCACTAACCCCAATACCCTCCACCTGCTTTTACCCGACTCTCTCGTCTCCTATTAACAGCTCAGCCCAAGAACAACTCGCAAAATGCCTGATCCCAAAATGCACTGCAACGCCAACTACACCCAGGCTGTGCCAGCTCGTGGAAGTAGGTGAACTCTTCCGGCTTCACGACTCCACCACAGAGGCTCGCGGGAATCTTCCTGGGGTGGGGTCTCCCTGACCTTGAAGCCTTGAAGTTTAAACACAAGAGACCGAGACGGAAAACCAAGGCCACAGAGGCGGATGGAAACCATGGGCTGAAAACTCAGGGTTTGCGAGGCAAAGCTGTGCCGGCCGACAGTCCAAGCTGCTAGCTACTAGTACCTTCTATGCCGGGCATCAGGTGCTCGCCAGGGCCCTGAACCATGGCAATGAGGCCCAGGTCGCCCATGCGCTTTCGCATCTCCTGGCTTTCTCTAACGGCTCTATGGGGCCTCCATCCCACTCTGAGAGAGCGGTGCGAAGGGCGGTGCGCTCCTTGCTGGGCGGCGTCGACTTCACCTCGCACTCCAGAGCCTCCTCTCTGGCTTCGCCGCTGAAGAACTTCCGAGCTGCCAGACGCAGCTTCACGTGAGACCTAGGGGAAAAGCTGCAACAAACAGACGAGTGACGGGGGAGCCTTCAAGGCCTCTCAAGCCGCCGCCAAGGGGCTCATCGAAGTAGGGAGACTTGAAGCCCTGCATGTAGCTGGGCTCTGCAAAAGGCACCTTGCCTCGGCTCCGAGCAAAAACATGGCTCGATGTCATAATAATAGAATAATAGCAATAATAATAATGATAGCAACAATAATTATTTATATTATTACATAATAATCATCATCATCGTAATGTTATATTAATAATAATGCCATAATAATAATAGTAGTAATTATTATTATGAACCTCCGACCACCCACCCCCAAGCCCTTGCCTCCCTCTTACGATATACATCTCTGCACGCCTTTGAACCGTGTACACAACGATTTACGACCGCTATTGCGATTGCCACTGCAGCTTCCAAATTCAGAAGCCAGCAGCCGCTATGATTTGCTGTCTTGTCCTCGTGGTCCCTTACTGCTTGTCAATCTTTGCCCCTGGTAGAGAGGACGGGTACCACGTCAGAAAAACACCGAAACATACAAGGCCAGTGACTGACCTCCGTGACGCGCTCCATCGCCTGCACATGAGATCTGTCGCGCAACGCAACAACTCCATCACCAAACTCTCCGCCGGCATAACAGCCGAATGTACAAAAACCTAGCAGACATGCCTGCTTGGGAGCAGGGCCGGCATCCGTCAGCCGACCCTTTTTGAGGCGTGCATACCTCGGCTGAGCCGGCCAGCCCCTTCAACAGCCGGTAACAAAAAAAGATTACTTTTAGGGTGTTACGGTTTAGGGCTTCGGACAATCTAGGCTGGCATGCATGCACGTGAAACACATTCTCCTGGGGCCGAGGGCTTGTCCAAAACCTCCACGCGATGGAGTCCAAAGAAGTCCTCCGTCGCATCCTCCGAACAAAACTCAGTAGCTGATACGAGTACATCCTTCGTGCAGTGGAGGTGCCCCAGGAAGCCTGAAAAACCCTCATCCGAAACCCAAGACGGGCAGCACCCTTCTGCATGATGTTCCAAGACCGAAGAACGAATGAATATATATATATATATACATACATACATACATACATACATACATACATACAGACGTACGTACATACGTACATACGTACATACGTACATACGTACATACGTACATACATATCTCATCCATGACACTGTGTATGCATATGTGCATATATGTGTATGTATGTATATATATATATGCCCGCGTATGTATATGCCTAGGCATGTGTGTGTATGTGTCATATACATATATACATATATACATATATACATATATACATATATACATATATACATATACACATATATACATATATACATGTATACATGTATACATGTATACATATGTACATATGTATGTGCATATATATATATACATATATTCACATATACATATACATGTACATACATACGTGTGTATATATACATACATACATACATACATACATACATATACATACATATATATATATATATGTATATTATATATACAGATATACATATACAAAATGTGAAAATCTTAGACATGCATATAGTATGCATGTATGGATGTTTGCTTGTATGTATGTATGTATGTATGTATGTATGTATGCATGCATGCATGTATGTATGACTTAGGGCGGTAAACATACATACATCATCCATCCATCCGTCCATCCGTCCATCCGTATATATATATATATACTACACTACACAAAAATTTGCCCTTGTTAGGAATTGAAAGAAACAGCAACTTTGCGAAGTCAGTGCCTTGCCGGCGTATTCCAAAAGGATGTTGGTGCCACCGGGATGAACTCCAGCGAACCTGGTGACATCGTACCTTGCAGAATCATTAGACGACTCAACCTTCGCCAGTTTTCACATGAAGCCGGGGTATTTCGGATAAAGCCGGCAACAGCACATCTTCTCCACCACAACTTCAAGTGGCGAGGAACACATCGCCGTCCACAATGATCCAGGCATCATCAGCCTTGTTGTGCTTCGCTACTTCCTCGCGTGTGATGCTGCCGGCCATGATGAGGATGCAGTGAGACAGGCGGGCTGGGGCGTGTAATCGCTTGAGCAGGGTTGCCAACAGAGAGAGGGAATCCATCTCAGGACATACCTGCGTAGTGGCTTCTCAAAAGAGGCTGTGCAGTCCCGTGGGGGAGCAAGCACATGTCCGGATCGCTGTCAACCTGTGCATAGCTCATCCTGGGAGTAGGCAGGATTCTGCTAGTGCAAAGTCTTCGAAGGATTACGAAAAAAGAATCACTCCACAATTCGTTAGAGCACAAAGAGCCTTCTGTGAGTGTCCAGATGACAGCCCAAATCTCAGATCGGAGCCCTCACTTAACCATATTGATCGAATGACAAACTCAGCATCTACTTGTAGCTGGCTCCAGGCGTCATGCAAGGCCTCGATTTGACGATGGCCGCGTGTGAGCAGCGCATGGATGTGCACGAGGACCTTTGAAACAAATAGCCGGCTTCCAGGGATATCGTGGAATTTTTCAGCCATGAACAGCTCCAGTCTACCTAAGATCAATTCACCAACCCCGCCGTCCACCGCTGGATGGGGCAGCAGCGTAACTTAAAACTTCATCGCATGTCGCGTGGGCCATGAATCGTGTGAAAATGCTTATGTCCATGGAAAGATGCCAGTGGTACGTAAGGTTACGAGAACCTTTTTATTTCAAGCCTGCATAATTCGAGGAATTAGGATGGCAGGAGGAAGCGGCTAGATATAACTTGCAATTGGACAAAACCAAGCTCATTCTTCACAACTCTGAGGGCAAGATCTTCTTCAGTAATGGGGATCCTGTACCTAGAGTACTAGAGTTTCGTCTATCGTGTACTTGGGCGGTCTCATCGAGGAAACAGGTAGACCAGGACCTGAGGTGCGGCGCCGCATCGGAGTGGCCAGGGCGGTTCTTCAAAGCAAGAAGCGAGTTTGGAAGCACGCGTGTTTATCCACTAAAAGGAAGTTGCAGATTTACAAGTCGTGTGCAGTATTGAAGCTGCTGTACGACATGTCCACCACCCGGCCCGCATCGATTCGTTTGACAGTTTCCTAGAACCACAAATGTGGGGGGGCCGTTCCGGTCGTGGAGAAGAAGGGAGGCAGGCGCTGCAAGCCTGCTGCTGGTGATTGAGATACGCAGGCCCTCAAAGTCCAAGGAAAGTTGTGTGACGGCCTCCTGGTCAGAGGCGGGTGTGCCCATACAAAGCGAGTCTGGGCAGAACCCTGTGCAGGAGGCAAAGGAGCACCGTCCTTGCCTCAACGAGTTGCCGCAGGCAATGAGGGAGGGAAAAAGGGTTTAGGGTTTAGGGTTTCAAGGGAAAACAATCCCAAGTCGAAGGGGCGACAGGAACCGACCAACCTTGACAGTGGACTGGGCACCGTAAACCCCACAAGTCAGTCAATCACCGACAGGAATCAACTCTCTCAGGAAGGGGCCCCACACCATACTTCATTCACAACGACAGGAGCAGAGTTCCCTTCTCACCACTATTGCCAGATCTAGACTTACAACACTCTATAGTACTCTATAGTTGTATCATCATATAATGATATACTTCATTCTGCAGAAACGGACGGCATGTGTGCCTTTAAATCACACGTGGCATCGTAGAATCTCCTGCTCTGAGCGTCCCGCCGTGTAAGACAGCTCAGTGCTGGCCGCAGCCATGAGCGTCAAAAGTGGGCCCTGCGCAGGAGCTCTGTAGGTTTAGGGTTTAGTTTAGTGGTTTGGGGTTTGAAGGGTTTAGGGCAGGTGTTGTGGCGTCATAGTCTTGAAAAGTACGGTGTGGGATTACCACTGCACTTCTTCTCTGCAGTGTGCCTACTATTACAACTTCTTCTTCTACCGTTTCGTCTTAGGGTCTGACGCCGCAGAGTTGGCATGAGGGGCTTGAAGCTTTGCACTGCCTCGACCCCACGAGTGGCTAAGTGATCTCTCGTGCTTGGGATGTAGCGTTCCGGGTCCACCCAAGCCGACGCGTCCTTCAGTCTCTGTAGCACGTCCTGCTGCAGGTCCGGGCGATTGCTAGTGAGGTCGACGAAGATCTGCAGAGGTAGCAAGAGTGGTTTGCCGGATCGCATCGCTGGAAGGAGCTCGTCACTCGTCACAGCGAAGGACAGACAGGCCATCCAGAACCCCTCAACTCAATAGCTCTCCACTTAATCCCAAGTATGCAGATGCCGAGCCTTCGTCACTGACAAGACTACAGCGCTGCTGGACTGCTTCAACAAGCCTTGTGATTCACCCCGCATCTCTTGGCATGTGCATAGGGAAGGCTGGTGCGTACACCGGGCATCCAACTGCATGTTACTCACCTGTGCATACTCAGTGTCGAGCCATCGAGGATGTTCATGATGTCGAACATCTCTGCCTCGCCAGCCACACAGTACCTCCGCCATTGGGAAAGCATGCTGCATAAGCCTGGTCACAGGACTTACACGGGCCTCAATAAGGTCCTACGTCTCACTAAGGACGAGGTGACAAGGGGGCACTTTGTCAGCAGCCTCAGAATGGCACATTGGCCCCACTCAGAGAAGTGCATGATGCGGTTCAGCAGGGCCGTGATCTCGGCGAAAGCTAAAGGACCCAGGCAAAGTGAGACCGATAAAACTCCATCTCCAAGTTCCTAGCCACTTCCTCAGTGGGGTGATAGCCGCCCTCGCTGGCTAGGACCTGCTTGATATGGTCAAGACTTGGGTGAGCTGCTCCACAAGAATTTCTTGAGTCATTCCATGGTGGCGATTCACTTCTGCGACCAAGTAGGACCCGATGCGCTTCAGAAGGCCTCATCGTTGCACCTACTTCTTCGGGCCTCCTCTAAGGCACTGATCGTGTTGGAGACCACGTGAGCGTCGCTATCACTCACAAGCCTTCGCCAATCGTACATGCTGCGAGTCGGCAGAATATGGCAGAATGCAATTCTCCCTTGTCGCGGCAGTCCGAGGCATGTGCCGCTTCAGCATGGGCAGCAGGTCAGTTTCCATGACCTCAGCAAAACATCAGAATCCACACGGCCGGCCTGGCAATCGCAAATGTTCCTGCCACTGAATGCATGCAGTCGTCTTGCAGTTCACAAGGTCAATTCAAGACGATTCCGCAGCAGAGAATGCTTGAGAGAAGCACTGCCAGGCTTGTTTGCCGAGAGGCTACAGACGGGGAGATGTAAAAGAGCTTCACAACCTGGCAATGCAAGTTAAGTCCCAGATCTGCAACACAGGACAAGGCAGCTTCCAACTCGACGTCAGGCGCACTCCGATAACGGCCGTCTTTCGGACGTAACCATTCACATCCTGTGTGCAGGGCGCTGTTGACACTCACAAGCTGGGAATGCCTTCCTGTTCCAAGCTCGAGAAGTCTCACGCGGCACATGTGATCAATTTCCTTTTGCTGACCCGGTTGCACGAAGACCGCTTTAGTTCTGCGGCTAGAACGCTTCCACAGCCGAAGGAGCAGACGTGTCCGAGTGCATGCAGACGGGATGCAGAATCCGTGTCTTGACGTCTTCAAGAATTCGAGACTCGGCACGGTAGTGGAGTTCAAGGGAGTGTCGAACAGCTGCCGTCAAGAACTCGACTTGAAACCTGCTCGGTCGGACTCAAAGGCTGTGATGCGGTGTGAAAATAATTCCCAGGAGCTGCTGCGGTAATGCACAGCCTCTTGGCTGTCCGAACATCTGGTCCTGTCCCACGATCCGATCTTCTTCTTTTGCACCCGTGCTCATGTACAAGTGCTTCTTGCTTGACGAGCTAGTGCCGCTGGACGCCGTAACGGGCAAACAAGCCTAGCTGGAAGGTTGCCAGCAGAATTCCTAAGCCGTCCTGCAAGTAGATGTACGGATCATCAAGCATGAAGTAGGCATAGAAAAACCAAAGGATGCAGTTCAGGTTCACTATGCATGTGAAACCCAAGTTGAGCGCTCGAGTGTTGCGCTCTCGCACAACCGTTCGGATGGCAGCTAGCGGACCCCCGAACATGAAGAGTGTCATCATGTTCCCTGTAATGCCGAGCAGATTCATCGCCCAATCATGCGGAAGGCCACATGCCAAAGCCGAAAATGCCACTGTCGATGCGACCTTGACGACATGACTCACTAGCAGGTGCCCAGGATTTTGCCAGTACTTGCTGTACACAAACATGTAGTACACACCAAGGCCAGCCGCACAGAGGTTCGGTGTCCAGACCGCTGGATTCTCTAAGAGAAGGCCGTAGGCTGTCCACACAACACCTTGCGAGGCCATCGCAGAGTAGGGCAGCATCGGCATCTGCCCAACATCTCCGGCTTGTCTGATACGCACCATGGCCTCGAACATGGGATTCAAAAAGATCCCCAGCGAGACGAGGCCAGGAAGGCCCATGCTGACGCTGCCAACGTGGACGAAGTCCTCGAAAATCCATCGGTACGGACTCTCAGCCAGCGAACCAGGAGGCACCGGTGCCAAAGAGGCTGGCAGCAGGAGCCCGAACCAAGTGAAGCTTGCAGAGCACGGAGAATCAGCGCCGCCAGCTCGGCAAGCCCCGGCCGCTGTGACCCGGCAGCCGGTGCCCCAGCCAGAGCCAGGGCATCGAAAGCTCTTCAAGCGGAGCCGCCTCAAAGGGACGGCACGCGATCTGGCCGCGGCCATCATGGTGCCACAGATCTCGAGCACAGGGCTCTGAAGTCTGAAGCTCTTCTCTGGAGCACTTTGGCTCGAGCGGTCTCGGCTGCAGCTGTGCTGCAATGGTTTTGGATGTGTGACATCTCTGACGTCTCTGACCTTACGAAGCTCGAGGAGGCCTCCAGAGCTCTCTGCACAGCAGGCTGCAGGTACCTGAAAAGGGCAGGGGCGGAGAAAAAGCTTCGCCTGCATGGGTCTGCAGACTAACCGGGCACTCAATCACGTTGACTAAGCTGAGGGAGCCTTCCAGAATCTGGTCTAGAAAACACCGGGCTGCACATCCCACTCTTCACATGAGATATGAGATAGACTGGGCTTATGACACAGTGATCGCAGGGCCAGGCCCCGGATCATGGGATCGTCATCCCGGCAGTCCTCATCCAAGTCTCTTACACAAGTCTGGAGCTCGGCGGATCGCAGGCTTCTGAGCAGCTCGACCTAAGCCTTGACCTGTTTTCTTCATCTCAACTTTACATAATCGGCTCCTTCTGAAGGGTGTTGATGGCCAAGATGGCCAAGTCCGAGTTGCTCTCTGCATAATTCACCAGATAAAGATACACCTCGCGGAGGAAGGTTGCTTTGCCAAACAGCTTTGGCAGGAGGAGCCAAAAATGCAAGCTATGCTGAATGATGCTTTGCCCTAGGCCTAAGCTTTGGACTGAAAAACGGATGGGAAGCTGTATATACTCGAAGGAGAGATGCGTCCACACCCCTGCACGCTTTCACGACTTTGAGTTCAGCACCATCTTCTTCTGCACGAGATCTGTGGTGGCACTTGCCTCAACTTCTTGAGATATCCGCAACCGGGCATGCCCCTAGATGGAGCCTCTTCTGAGCAGCGCCTTGCTCACCTATCTTAGCCAACATGAAATACTCTTGCAAACAGGCCCGAGCTTCAGAAACCTTGAGCCTTAGGTCGAGAAACCTGGCAGGAAATTCAGGGAAGCTTGTAAGAACTCTGAGGCATTTGACCCAAACCCAAGCCCATATCTCAGACGAAATACCCGGGAGCCTAGCCTCCCAAAGCTCGGGCCCCGTGCCATGACCATCTCGCTGAAGAGAGGGGAAACATCGATGCCAAGAGTCATGTACGCGATGACCTCTCCGGTTAGGACCGCGCGGTCTCTTGCTCTGCCAACTGTTGTTCAGGTTGAAGGCTTCATCGACAACAACCTTATCCGCCACGATGACCACTGCTGCTGCTTCTCCCACGGACGAGTTGATACTCCTAACTGGTATTGGTGGCCAATCACCACGGCCACTATGACGGTTTCTTTGACTACTGGCCATCATAACATTGTGGTTCGGGCTTCGGGCTAAGGCAACCTCCCGAGGAATAGCGACCGGGCCCGGGGGGGGATGCCGATGGCCATGTCCTTGACAGTACTGGTACGGTGGCGTACCTTGAGTATTAAAGCTCTCAACTCTGCATTCTTCTTCCTCCTTTCAACCCCTTCAAGTCTGCCGCAACTCGCGACCCTGTCCAGGCCTTTTTGATGGCATCACGCTTCTTCTGCTGGTCACGGTCCGCAGATGCGCCTGCTCGGGTAGCCCAGCACAACGCAGATGATCCGGCTTCATTCTGCTGCACACTCTAACCTGCAGGCGTCTTCGCATTTGTTGTTGCGAGACTTGGTAGGAACACGTGCCTGAAAAAAGACTTTCCTCTATCTGCAAAGCTGAACTTGGAGACTCTGTTTTGAGCCTCTGAGCAGCTCGTTGCCAGCCGCACACGGGTCGCCGCTTCTCGAGTTTCCGCGCTTAAAAGGTCCTGCGCCCCTCGCTTGTGCCGTAGTTCCAGACAAAGCCCTGCGAACCGAGCTGTCCGATGTCTGTGCGCTGCTACGGTGCGCTTGGCGCGGTGTGACCAGCAAGCCTCTTGAAGAAGCCACACTGTGGATTGCATTGTTCCCCAAGCTGCCACTTAAAACCCCCGACATGTATTTTTAACGACGAAGGTTTCGGACAGAGGGTGTTCCTGCTGTCCGGTTCTTTCACACTGTGCATATTGTGAAGGAGCAGGACGTCTCCGGCTGTGACAAACATGCTTCAGACAGTGGGTGGTCATTCACTTCCTCCGGTTCCATCTATGCGGTTGTGGTGTGCAAGAGCCATGCAGCGGTCCTTTAGGTTTTTGATTCTCGTTCTCATACAGATACAGTCTGTCCGGCTCATTATCGAGGAAATGGCTTATTGGGTCAGCAGCTTGGAACCTGCCTCGGAGCAACTGCCGTAGCTCATGAACTTCGCCTTTCTTCTCGAAGTATCCTGCTGAGCGGGCTCTTGATCAGCTGCTACTGCTACAGACCCAGCCGGCTCCCTGCGTTCGGACTTCGGACCCCAGATGCCTTCTTCCCATAAGTTTGTGAGGGCTGTTCTATAGCCAGTAGAACCCGAGTATGAGCAACAACCGGTAACAACCGTGTGAGTGAGCAACAAAAAGGTCAGACGTGTCGAGTCTTAGATTACACAAGCATCTTTGAACCGCAGGGCTCGTGAAGAGGGCAAAGACTACCGGACAGCTGCATCATGTCACTGCTCGTTTGACATCATCACATCACTGACTGAGTCCTTGAGTTTACCGTTCTAACTGCTCTACTGTACGAAGCCCTTGTTCTATCAGACGCTGCCCCCTCTAACCAACGGCCAGTCCCGATGGTCTCGGAGGCGGCGGCTGCGCCATTCGCCCAGGAGTGTGGCCCTGCGCGTGGAATGCCACTGCGAATGCCACTACCACCAGTACCAGTACCAGTACCAGTACTAGTACTAGTACTAATAGTACCAGTACTAACTGTACCAGTACCGGTACCGTAGTGGTAGCAGTGGTAGCAGTGGTGGTAGTGGTGGTACTGTTGGAAGTGTTGGAAGTAGTGATACCAGCAGCAGTAGTCGTCGTATGTCGTCGTCGTCGTGGTCGTAGAAATACTAGTTAGTAACGTTCGCGGTGGGTGTTGGCAGTGGTGGGAGCAGCGGTAGTGGCGGCGGTAGTGACGGCGGTGGCCGTGGCGGTGGTGGCGGTGGCGGCGGAGGCGGCGGAGGCGGAGGCGGTAGTGGTGTTGTTGGTGTTGTTGGTGTTTGTGTGTGCTGAGGGCGTGCAACGACAGCCAAATGGAGGAGGACTTTGAAAACCAGCGAGTCGGTCTACTAGACCAGACACTGCTCAGCGAGAGCCTCTTTATTCTCTTTCTTCGGACTGTTGCTGGAAGCAAGCTTCGGCTGGCGCACCTCAGGCCAATCATTTGTCCGAGACTGACACTGCCGGGGTTGAAGGTTCAGGGGCGGGACGGCTCCTGCTGGGTTCCGAGCACGGTTCTTGCGAATTGGCAACTTGCTGGTGTCGCCAACCGCAGCAGCCACCCCCTTTCACGGAAGAGGAGATCCGAATCCTGCTGGCCTACACCTCGCCCTTCCGAGCCTCCGTCACTGCAACGGCCTCAGGCGAGAGACCTCCAGTGCCTGTCGCTTTTTTCGGCTATTTTGAAGCCTGGAAGTCTTTTCTCTCAGCCTGCCAACTTAAAATCCTGCAAGCCTGCGGCAGATTGCCAAAGACAGAAAAACGGTAGCCGCCGTTGCCTCTGCCAAAGTCTGGGAGGGTGCACGCCTCAAGGAGGGGCAAGGCTGCTTGATCCAAAGCTGCCAGGCCCTCCTCGAGTCTCAACCTGTCACTTCCTTGGGACCGGCACTGAGAGGAAGCTCAAGCTTCCTCTTTTAGGCCCCCTTTTTAGCCGTTCGTCTCGGCACGAGGTGTATCTAGTCTGTATCGGCTGTTCAGCCAGACTATCCGCTGCCTCAGGCAGTTCGACTCATCCGCTGTCTGAGGGGAGAACTTGCCCTTTGCAAAAAGGCCGAGGGGAGCTTTGCAGTCATGGTGCACCTTTGTACATCATGCTATACCCAACCAGCAATTTGTCCAGAGCTTCCTCAAGCACGTTTTGCATGTCTCTGCACATCCGCCTGACCTATCTGAGACTTAGATCGATGATCTCAAATCCCGGCTTGAAAGCGATCTCTGGCAAATTACCGTCTGCTCTGCTAGTCTGACACCACGAGATCAAGCTTCCTTGAAACCAAGCTTCGAAAGCAAACCAGGAGTACGTCCTTCTGATCCTCTTCTTCTACATTACATCAGCCATCTTCAACCCTATCACTGGCCATCCACGTCGATGACGTCGTCCTTGCCCTTGGCATCGCCGGGCGGGGGCGCCCCGGCCTCGCCGGCCGCTCCCTCGGGAGCGCCCTCGGGCGCTGCACCGCCGGTGTTGGCGTACGCCGCCTGGCCGAC